TACAGACAGCACATACTGGGGCCCCATGTGGGCCTAATGGCCTCCTCAGCGAGCCTCATCTCCAGTCCCACCACAGCCTGCGAATGGGGCCGAGGCTCCAACCTGAGGACGTGGGGCTCCTTCCTGCCCCGCCGTGCTGGCCGGCCGTGGGGACGGGGCAGGCGCAGGGAGGGGTGAAGCTGCTCGTGCAGGGCAGACCTGGAGGACACGAGCCGGTCCCCTCCTCCAGCTCCGTCAGCCTGGCTCCGGCGGGGCTGTCCGGCCCGGGCTGGCCTGGAGCGGGGTCTGGCGCGAGCAGTCTGCACCCCGCCCTTTCTCTGAGTAAACTCATCCTGTTGTTGGCTTGTGGGGCCAACAGGTCACAGCAGGGGACCTTCCGGGGAATGTGGGGGCAGAGGCAGGGGTCCAGCCTCTTGGGGCCCTTCAGGGGAAGCCTCGGGAAAGGGGGATCGTGGAGGAAAAGCAGAAGCGCGCCGGTGCAGGAAACAAGGCTAGAATGTTCCGGAAGGCCCCACAGGGGCGGCGCCACCCTCTTGGCGCCCCCGTCCCCGCTCCCCTGTGCGCGTGCGGGGAGTTCTCTCTCCGGAGCCTCTAGTCCACCCCGAGCCGGCCTGAGGCTGAGCATCCCAGCCCTCCATCCAGGCTGGTGTCCGTGGCAACCCCATCCTGGGGCGTCCGGTCCTAGGCTCACGAGCCCTGACCCCGGAAAGGGCTCCGCTCCTCGTTCGTGCGCCTCAGGAACGCAGGAAGCCAAATAGCGACAGGAAAGACGGCCGCGCCGGGCAGTAGGGGGGTCTCGGCCCTGGCCGGGGCCTGGCGCACACCGAGACTTAGGCACTGCTGCAGCACCACCCCGGGTTTCCGGTCAGCCGGGCTCCCCAGCGACCCAGTCTCCCCGCACGTGCAAGCCTGGCTGCCTCCCTTCAGTTCGCACTCGCTGGCCAGCAGCGGCCCCAGGCCCGCCCACACCCCTCCGTCACCCCGTCGCCCCCTCATCGCCCCCCCCAGGCCCCCCAGGCACAGGCTCTCACCGGGTCTCCAGCTTCTCCCTTCTCCCCGGGGAGACCAGGCTTCCCCCGTTCTCCCTGCAACACAGAGGCCAGGCCGGCTGCTCTCCAGGGCCCCCGGCCACGCTGTCCGCGGAGGGGCAGCCACCCTCCTGCCCCACCTCTGCTGGCCCTGCACCCTGTTCCTGCTGCCCCCTGGGGCCCTGAGGCGCCAAGGCCTCGGGGAAGAGCCAGCGCTGACCTGGCGTCCACGCAGGGCCCCCCGTGGCCACAAATGCACCCTCACGCCTCTGCAGGGCCCAGCACACAGTGAGCCCCTCAGAGGCAATGGGTGTGCACCCTAGATGGCCAGTGAGGCCCCACACAGCGCTGGGCCGCTGCTCGGGCGCAGGGTCACTCTGCTGGGACTCTCCCGACAGCGGCTGGACCTCCTGCCTGGAGAGGTGGCCCTGCCATCCCCAGCCCAGGGTGGTGGCCAGCACCCGGGGGCCACTCACCTCGTACCCAGGGTCACCCTGCGGTCCTGGAGGTCCTCTGGCAGGCTGCAGGGGGGGAGGGACGGTCGGTCAGTTTGGGCAGGGCAGTGCAGACGGTCAGCCCAGGTGGGACAGAGTGGACGGTCAGCCCGGGCAGGGCGGGGCAGGAGGGAGTCAGCCCAGGCAGTGCAGATGGTCAGCTGGGCGGGGCTGGGCAGTGTGGACACTCAGCCGGGGCAGAGTGGACAGTCAGTCCAGTGGAATGGGGCAGTGAGAATGGTCAGCAAGGCAGGGTGGGGCAGTAAGTGTGGTTGGCCTGGGCAATGCAAACAGTCAGCGAGTGGGGCGATTTGGACTCTCAGCCCAGGCAGAGTGGACGCTCGGTTCAGTGGAGTGGGGCAGTGCGGCCAGTCAGCCGGGCAGGGTGGACAGTCCATCTGGCGGGACACTCACCTGGCACTCGAAGGAGCAGCACTGCAGAAGGAACAGGCACAGTGAGTCCCGGCCGGCG